TACCTGATGCAGAAAGCGGCTCATGTGCTTATAAGCCCGGCTTTTATCCGCGACTTTATGATACAGTAGAATGCCGATAATCCGAACAATCACTTTTTCGAAATGCCAGTTTCCATTGAATTGAAGGGACGAAAATGAGCTTCTGCTCATTTTCGCCAACCCCAAGCACCATTCAAGCGGTGCACAAGATAGTTTGCAACAGGTTGGAGCAACAATGTATCACCGTGGATTCATATTGAGGAGCTAGAGTGTGTCTAGTTCCTGTGAAGAGAATGTGAGAAATGATGGAAACGTGAAGGAATGTGCAAGTCTTAGATGGATGTGTGACTGCTCCGTTATCCGAATTTTTCCCCATCCGAACCCCCTGGAGAAAGCGTGCGCCCGAGGGGTGCGGATAATCTACACTTTGCTGTAACAGTTATGTACAATGCGTGCCGATGCACATTGGACAACGTTGCAAATGTAGAATTGTAGGTGGACTGTGGTTCACATTAGACGATCGGAGTAGCCCCACCAAACGAAGAGAGCTCAATATCACAAGGTAGAGCTTGCATGTACAATCGAAAAAGAGTACATATACCATTAGCTGATGTTGACTTGTTAGTGTGCGTTACGAAGTCTGAAGAAAATGTTGAACGATCTCGGCTGGGATGACGGCTACACCTTAGCTCAGTGATTAGAGCATCGCTGGCCTCAAGCGAAGGTCCCTGGTTCGAATCCTGGTGGTGACAGTCAATTTTTCTTCAGACCTTTCCCGTTTGTGCCTTTCCCTCTAACCAGTGAATATTACTGTTAGCTTCGTACTTTGAGTGATTATCACTTACAGTTACATATACAATGTACTTGATAATTTCTTAGCGCATGAAAATCGGAGTCAGTACCACAATATTCCTCCCTCACTATTTGAGTCTAGATACTTTGAATGTGGAACAGGGTCCAGGACAGGATCGTCTGCTCTATCCGAATTATGGCCTGGTTGCAATTTGTCTATTCACCAGCAGGTACATCGCACCAGGGAGTCATAGCACCTACACTGTAGGGAGACTACACAATACTTTATAGAATTTTGGGTCAGGATTTGGAGGTTTTCCGTGATCTGTGCAACCCGCGATCACGGCATTGACCTACTGACCCTGAGAACGGCCCAGGTTAGCAATACCATGTACGAGCGTGTATAGATCTGCCCAATGGTGCCCCAAGGGTGGCTGAAACAGGAACCCCTGGGTTGAACCCCATGTCATTTAGCTTTACAGTCGCCTGTGTCGTCTCCCTAGATGCTACAACTCCCTGCGTTGCACCCAGTAAATGCAGCACATCAAGTATACAGCCATGTAGTGTTGGTTGTCACCTGTTCTGATCGTGTGATATCACTAACAATCTTCTACGGTCCATTCATTTTTAACCTGGCACGTTAGGGGCCGTCCATAATTATCTATCTTTAACAGATTGAGTATCTTTAACACGAAACGAGAAAAAAATCGTTCATGGGCGGGTGGGTCAAGAAGGGTTTCGTAATGAAAAATATTGATAGCTGAAACACTAGTCCATTCCAGCTATTTTTCGTGGAGGGGTGAGTAGGTGGGGGTGGGGGACGGTCACAAGTTGCTCATAACTAAACTTTTCATTTCGTGAAAATTATCGATAATGCCGGGTCCATAATTGTCGATCTTTTACACGAAGAGAAAAAGTTTCGTTTGTTGGTGGGTCAAGGGGAGTTTCGTTTCGAAAAAATATTGATATTACGGACATCAATCGGGGGGGGGGGGGGGGGGTGGGGGTGGGGGTGGAGGAGGGTCCTTCTTTCATTTCGTGAAAATTATCGATAATGCTGGATAGCTCCTTTAGTCTATGCAATAAAATAGTTGTTTTCTTCACACAGTACCGTAAAGTTTAAACAATATCCGGCCATGTTTGTACCGAACATTTTTTCGAAAGGTAATTTCTCAAATGTTGCCTTGAGTACATTCTCAGCAACATAGCGGGCCAGTTTCAAATAATTGGACTGCAAACTTGCATCGCTGGTTGTTGCAGCTCCATCACAGGTCCTATCACGGGAAATTGAGTCCAGCTTGGGTGCAGTAGCATGCAAGTACCTGATGATATTGTTGCAATGGATCATAGTGAGGGCGTAGCAGTACTTGTGCACTGATAGTTGGTAATGGAATGAGTACATAACCAAGAGTGGGCAACTCGATGATCCCTCTGCCCACGGCAGAAAGTTTCATCACTTCGGTTTTTGTGGGCCATTGGGCTCATTAATACCATCATGCGTAGCCAGAGATCAAAACTTGTACATCACAGCTACGGCAGTTGAAGCAGAACAATGAACTGTGAATCCATGCCTACTGAACCTGATGAAACACTCTATCTACATGGCACATGTAGAAATATATACGCGCTTGCTCATAACCATTGGATTTCGAAGCCGATCGTACCTTATGTTAGTAGTTGCACATTCTTAGCAGTTATGTAGTTTGATAATAACGTTACAATAGGTTATTAATACTGGTGGAAACGTTATGCTGGTTGCATATTTGGTACCCGGTGTGCCATGACCAGGCATGCTAATTCATCGGATATTAGCAAGTTTGCCTGCCTGCTGGGTGTTGTATCTTAGCTTCACTGTACTACAAATACGATAGGCTTAGTTTTCCTAAATTGCTTCTTTATAACATCCAGTTTGTTTTGCTGCAATCTTTTCATGTGTTTTGCAGGATTGTAGCCAAGGGTGAATACCATTATCATGAGCGAAGGTCTCTGAGAACTCATGTCTGAAGGCTGGTCATGTTGGCCCAACGATGACTTTCATTGCCTGTATCCGCCACCTTCATACTGGAATGAACTGGAACATGTTCACTCTCTGTTTCTCATGTGGAAGGACGGAACAGATTGTTTGTCTGTCTCTGTGGATCACCGAAGGCTGAGCAGTACAGTTGGAAGAATATTGGATCTCACGAAGTGACTGAATCTGAAGCGGCTGACATGCATCTGCACAGCGCTTTCTTTCTGAGATTTGCTTCAAGGCAGGTTATTGTGTACAATTTTGTCCACAGTATTCCTATATTTGCCAAACGTATTTCTCTGATAGTATTGTGACTACACACGCGCAATGATCTCTCCGTCATCAGTCTTTCGCAATGATGTGGCTCACTGACGACAGCATGCATAGCCATAGATCAAATGAGCAGCTAAGGTAGTTGAAGCAGAAGAATGGATCAATGCATCCTGAACCTGGTGTACTGCCTTTATGCACCCTCAGTAGTATTTGTAACGTGTTAACTATGAAGTATCAACATTGCTTCTCTTCTATGTGGGTGGTGTGAGTGAATGTCAGATGGTCTGTACCGCCATGGCCGATGGTGTTCACTGGAAGATGTTGGGTTGGACCATTGTGCCCTCTTGCAATATGCTGTTGCAGCCTGAAGGCAATGAAAAAGTTCGAATGCTGATCTGCTTTCAAGCGTAGAATGTTACATTATGTGCATTACATATTTGCATAATTATGTTTTGTACTGGAGTGTGAATGTGCGGCAAGTGCATGCACATGTAAGTATATCGCACTGCAAACAGCCTAAGAGTTCACATGGTGTGTGATAAGTACACTTTTGGAAAGTGCGTGCACAGTCGAATCATGTAATGTTAAAACAGCCTTCGTGCTCCTCCCTGAATGGCTGCACAAGTAGAAATCTCCATCTTCCTTTGCTTCTTTTTGCTTGAGCTGGCATGGTGGTCGTAGAGTTGGAAATTGTCAAGTATGATAACAATCATTGTTTGGTCTGGAGACAAGAATGCATTTGGATAATTGTCCCAGGACTGCATGGCTTCCCAAACTGAATGTTGAATGCCATAGATGATTATTGTTCGGTTCAAGAAAGGACTCGTGGGTCTGTCTGGCTATTGTGAGCTCTCGCTAGTCCATTTCCATAGCACTTGCTCTGGATTCACTCGCTGGAATATTCTCCAGTATAGAACAAGAAGTTTAAAAAACCTACTGGTGATATTAGTATGTTATACTAGTTTCTCCGCACTGTACCGCAGCTTTTGTTATCACACACATGCGGGTTATATAGTTTATCTACAATCCAGCATGATGTTCTTCCAAGAACGCCCCCGACCTAGGCCGTCGGAACGACGTTCTTTGGTGTGCAACATCACTTATAGTTCTAAATCTTAGAATTACCGGTAAGCGCAGGATTTTAGTGATCACGGTTCCAAATGCATGTCATTGCACTCCACCTTTGGGACTTGTTAAACATGTCATTGCACTCCACCTTTGGGATTTATTAAGAGCTGCATGCATGCCAAAGCTTGTCATAAAAGAAGAGCAGACTTAAATAGGCATCTTGCATGCATGATTTCTAACATGTAACATCCCTGCCGAAGAGCGTTCTTCCATACTACAGTAGAGTCGAGCGTCCAAGAACGTTGTGTCCAAGAGGTTAGCCTGGGGTGTTCTTATTTTTCAGCCATCCGGCTGCGCTCTTATAGCATGTTCTTAGAAACAATCATGTTAGGATCATAATTATGTATCCCGAAAGCTACCGGAAAACCAACACCGCCATTCTTTTAAACTTAAGGCGGTGGTGTTCTTAGCATTTCAGGCTGGACATTCTTGGGCAACACGTTCTTCGGCGCCTGACTCTACTGTAGTACTGTACATGAAATACAGCTGCTACAACTGTAGTAATATAGAATGCTGATTATCCGAATGATTGATTGTCCGAACTGCTCAGGCTGCATGGCAGCAGGCTGTCATCAACATGCATCCCATGATAATTTCGAGGAGCTGGAGTGTGTGCCAAAAAGAATGAGAAATGAAAGTATGCATGAGGAAATGAGTATGTTTTAGATGAGTGTTTTCCCACGCCCTTATCCGAACATACATGCACTCGATCGCCATAACCCCTGGCACACAGCACACAGCTTCAGAACCTGAGAGAGTATGATATGGGTATGTCACAAGTACTCCCAGGTCCCGAAGCTTTCGTCTCAACAAAGGATCATAATCGACGACTTGTAATGAACTACATTTTGGTGGTATTATACCGTACTTGTTTACGAATGAGTTTAAAGCATGAGAACTATCCACAGCAGACATTCTCACTGTTCGGAGTTGCCAAAAAAGTGGTGCATGTACAAATCAGGGATGGGTACAATACAGTGTACCAACATCTGAGGTGAGTCTATCAGGAAAGTGAATGTCGTCCACTCTATAAAATGGGGTCCCTCAAGAAAGATGGGATTTTGCAGACTTGGACGTTTCCAGCCAGGTGACTGTATATACAGTGATCTAAGTTATGCAAAGCTTGACATGAATGATTGGCTGGACACGTCGAAGAGAAGGAAGAGAGAAGCAGACCAACCTTACACCAGCTGAGTGTAGCGGCCCAAAACAACAAACTAATTCTGTGTGGCCTTAGAGGAGCTGGGCAAGATGTGTACAGTGAATTAAACAATACAGTAAAAGTGGGAGAAGAAGTGACAAGACTGAGTATGATACACTGTGCCAGCACAGTGCACATACTAGTGCAACTGTTGGTGTAGTTACAGTTAGCCCACACAAGCAGGTCACTCGATTGTAGATACACAGAGCGCATTCTACATCATACAAAACATGTTGAGCTAGGCAGCAGTGGCTGGCATTTACCGACATGCACCAATGCCAATGCGCGGCTTGAGCAAATATTACAAGCCTCAGAACACCCATACGCCATTTTAGAGACAGAACAAGGCGATGAGTAAGCACCAAAGGATTATATGAATAGCGGCCAGGCAATAATTCAGGCCACTGCTGCTAATCAAGGACTAGTTACTAGTGCTAGTATGTTGTCAGTGTACCCTGAAACGATGCAATCACAGCGAACGTGATACATGCACATCATGTTGCCTGGTTCTTGGTTAAAAGTTGTATCCTCAATGCTTGAGGTTTGTGGGGTCCCTCCAGCTTCTCAGAGTCCTGCACAAAAAAGATAAAAGCAAGTGCAGGTAGAATAATAGTAAGCTCACATAAAACCTCTTCGTCTTGCTAACAAATTTCGTGATTAAATCCCCAGCATGGGAACGAGGCTACAGGAAAAAAAAGTTCAACCATAATAATGCAAAAAGGCAACTTTAGCTAATCATATTTTTGGCAGCAACACTATACTGTTTGTATAGGAGAGTTGGCTTGGTGTATTCATGCCAAATGAACTCCATATAGTATTGTATTACTGTACTTCATCATTTTACTTGAGCATTCATTCCCAGTAGCCCTAATGTCTTCTAACAGAGTGCGCAAGGTACTGCATATTCGGCGCATATTTTATTTTCGGCTATTATCGGCCTGCGCATTTGTAATTCGGAAAGTGGTGGACATCACGCAACTGAATTGTAAATAAAAGGGGGTTTGTCAACTGACAACCGCATACTTTTTCGACATCACAAATAAAATAATTTTGCGTCCAGCGCATGCGCCAGGAGCGAATAGCAACTGAATAGAGCGGTTGTCATTTATTTACTAGAGGAAACGCAAAAGGTAACAAGATTACGTAACCAAAGGTGAGAAGGCACTGAACGAACTGTCAACCTACGAATACAACCTCAGTGCAACAACGTGCTCTTTCTGCTTACACAAGCAGAAAGAGAAAGAGCATGTTGTTGCACTGAGGTTGTATTCGTAGGTTGACACTTCGTTCAGTGCCTTCTCCCCTTTTATTTACTGGGCATTTGTAGCCTAAAATTTGTTTTGCAAGGTTCAATGTGACAGTGTATACAGGCATCAGCAGTACAGGCTGAAATTTCAATGTGGCCGAGATGTGTTTTTGCCCTGGGGAGGCTGCAATTTAAAAGCGTCGAAAATTTGCATACTTTACAACACAGTACTGAGCATGCGGTGAGCTGATGACGAAATGAATTGGAGGTGCTAATAATGCTAAGGGATTCGGTGGTGCATCAAAGGGGTCAGCACCAAGGAATGGGATAGATTTGTGCCCAGTTCGGGTATGTATATTGGGTATAGAACGGAAATTATTGGCTAAGCCTCGGGCGACTCCTACCAGTATTGCCACCAATGGCCCATGGCTACTGATCTCTGTGATAGAAATGAGACGTCAGGGCCGGAGGAAGGAGTTTTGGAGTGGTCCGGCCAACCTTTGAGGGGGGTCCGGGGGACCTCCCCCGGAGAAATATTTAAAATTTACGTGAAATAGAGCGAATTTGGGCACCTCTTTAAAGGCTCCAGAAAATGCAGGAAATTATAGTAAAAGAACACAAACACAACTTTTTTTTATCCATATCATTAAAGCCATACAGTGCCGGTCATGGAGTCCTGAGCTACTTCGAAGCACATCACACGTCGGCAGTACAGTCGAGCCATGTACCTCTGGATTTTTTTACACCGGTTTTGCACGAATCACATGGACCATCCAGCTGGGAAAGTGGTCCGGCCATGGCCGGACCAGCCTGACCGGTTCCGCCGGCCCTGGACGTGTATGTGAAACCAAAATATGGCTTTTCAAGATGTACTGTAAGACATTCTGTTATAACGAGTCGCAAATTTAACGATTGTCCAAAATTCATAGGTTAACGAGAAGATATGTTAACAATCTTGCAGTATTCTGCCATATCCACACACAGCATATATGAAGCAGTACGGCCTCAACGGATCTATTATAACGAAGAAATGTCATCCGTTAAAACGTTAGATTTGCTTCCTCGTTTAAATATATAATATATACTGTAAGACATGATTGTATATTATAAAATCATGTCTTACAGTATGTGCATTTTGTGAAGATCTGATGTAAGTCATTAGGGACACCTTGTTGGGTCTTGCCAACATTCAATTATTATGATGTTCATATCTATGCAATAACGTTAATGGAATTATCAGCAAGAATCAATAACCCCAAGAGTATGCAGCTTTACACATGGAGTCTGCCACAGCACGTTTACCAAAGTACATGAACCTAGACACGAGCTGAGGAATCAGCTGAGCTGCTGCATCATTTATGATCTGCTATAGTTTCCAGTCTCCATGGAGGTTTTTCTTGGAAACGTCGAATCTACAGTATTAGGTGTGAAACTGTTGTACTAAACCGCAGGAGATAGAATCTATTCAGCTCGGACAACATTTCACTACGTACGGAAGGAAGTACGCCGATCAAAGCTTGCTACACTCCCGTTTAGTCAACTTAACGGCCCAAATAATGCTTGGGTCATGAACTCATCGCTGTTGGTCTTTCGAGGGTGCCTGACAATGGTTGTTAATGCACAGCACCAGCCGGGCCAAATGACAAGATCAGAGACATAGATCTTCCTAGTTCAATTGCTGAAACGTGACTTGTGCAAATGTTACGTAGCAAAAGGAACTGTACTATGGCACTACACGCCATCCACAATAATCAAAAATGCCCACTTGACAAAACAGAATTTCATCAACGGAGCCCCTGGATTTTCTCTTCTGTACATATGCATTATGGAGTCATAGCATAAGGGAGACGGCACGGTAGACTTTCAGCCTAAATCATAACGAGGGCCAGCTGGGCAGCTCAAAAGAGAGCTCTATGCACTATCGGCAGAGTGGTATACATGAATAGAGAGTGACCACCCAGTGCATGAAGCTTTTCGTGTCACCCTAGAAAATTTCAAAAATTAATAATGTGGGTTCAACCCTGGGCTGCCAGTGACAGTTGCCCTAACTGCCTTAGGGGCAAGTGCGATATGGTGGTGGTGGTGGTGGTGGTGGTGGTGGTGGTGGTGGTGGTGGTGGTGGTGGTGGTGGTGGTGGTGGTGTTGTTGTTGTTGTTTTCTTTATTTGAATTCGCTAAAACCAAACGGACAGAACTGTCCAGTGACAAGGGAGCGAATGGTGGTGGTGGTGGTGGTGGTGGTGGTGGTGGTGGTGGTGGTGGTGGTGGTTGTGGTGGTGGTCACAGTGGTGGTGGTGGTGGTGGTCACAGTGGTGGTGGTGGTGGCCACAGTGGTGGTGGTGGTGGTGGTGGTGGTGGTGGTGGTGGTGGTGGTGGTGGTGGTGGTGGTGGTGGTGGTGGTGGTGGTGGTGGTCACAGTGGTGGTGGTGGTGGTGGTCACAGTGGTGGTGGTGGTGGTCACGGTGCTGCTGCTGCTGGTAGTGGTGGCGGCGGTGGTAGTTGCGGTGGTGGGAGCATTCTGCACTGCAGGGCATTAAAGCAAACTCGATTGTGCATGCATGGTGGCGGTGGGAAAGAGGGGCCAAGGAAAGTGTGTACATATTTTTGTTGAAAGCACGAGAATTCAAAGAAAGCTGGCTGCTTCCTCTATTTCCATGATCGGCCAGTGCCTGCAGCACGAACAGTACATTGTATTACATGTATGTGCATAGACAGACAAATAAACACTAACCTGAGCATGGGTACCGCTTGTATTCGTGGTCAGGAAAGTGAAAGTACGAACGAAGGAGAAGAAGATTGTTGACCATGGCGAACAACTGCATATCCAGAGGGCACACGGCTTGCCAGAATGGGTCGGCTACATCTTCGCTAATTTTCTATCCTAACAACATTCAGCTTCGAGGTCAAGGACGACGGCATTTTTGGAAAGAAATTTCGAATTTTGGAGAAGAAGCTTGCTTTCGGAAAAAATGTTCCTTTCACGCAAGGCAGCATGCCAGGTCAGGCGTTTGAACCAAGTGAACTGTGTCGGCAGATCGACGTTTACGTTCCAGGCCGACAGTTTTTTGACCAAGCCGTGAATCGCCCTCGCTCTGACTCCCCCGGCTACGAAGGAGTAATTTTACAACTCTTCAGGCCAGCAACAGGTCTCTGATGCAGAGCTGCAAGTGACGGATATCGGTCATTTGCAGCCACTAATAAGAGCCTCCTGGTCGTTGCAATCTGATACATAATATACCTCGTGAATCGCCCTCGCTCTGACTTGCCCGGCTACGAAGGAGTAATTTTACAACTCTTCAGGCCAGCTACAGGTCTCTGATGCAGAGCTGCAAGTGACGGATATCGGTCATTTGCAGCCACTACTTAGGGTGCGTTCTTAAATTCTCTAGCTTCTAGGAGAAGAAGAAAAGAGAAGTCGAAGAAACTGGGATTCTTCAAGAACGGGTCTCGAAGAATTCGGAGATATTTTGCAGATGTCAAGCAAAATGAAGCGCCAAAGGGGCCGCGATCTTGAGTGCCACGAATATAGTATGCGCTGTGCGTATGCGAAAAGGGAAATGCGTACACTCATGATCAACACGTGGCTTTTAGCCTAGTTCGCATGCGCTGATCCCAAACCGCGGGAATCTCCAAGTTTCAACCACCTCTGAAGCTTGGAGAGCTTTGGAGAGCCTCCTAAAATTCGGAGAGGATATAAGAACAGCTCTCGAACTTTTCGGAGAGTCTCCAACTTTTCCGAGAGGATTTAAGAACGCACCCTTAGTACTTATAATGGTCGTCGCAATCTGATACAATCATAATATACCTCGAGCATAATATACCTCACTCCGGATCTCTCCTGCACAATCTGCAGATACCCCGCGCCCACGGCGGAATTTTTTGTTTACGTCACCTTTTTTCAGAGAAACGCGGATTTTGCCGCAGAGCAGGGTGAGAGCACGTGCTGGGCACCGACCTTGTAGTGTAAAGCCCAGCCAAGTGCACGAGGGAAAACTCTCCAAAAGGCTCGCAGCGCGTGCGTCGTCGAAAAGATTACGTCAACAAAAAATTCCGCCATGGGCCAACCCATCCGCGAGTTGTACACTCTTGTTTATCTACTCTTGATAATATACCTCCAGAGTGAGCGTGATCGTTTGGTCGAATCCGGAGTAGGTGTACTTGGAGTGGAATCCGACCACACCGGCCCCCACACCGGGATCGCGGGAGTGGCTGGAGTGGAAATGGACTTTGCCGTTTTTGGACAGCTTTCACAGAATCTTTGTACGATATGCGTACATTTTGCGTACTACACCCTTGTTTTGTTCGATTGGGCCAGCGTTGCTCGGACCACACCGCCTGCTCGCACTCAATCCAGATTCGCCAATCGATGACACCCCTAATAAACACATGGTGCGTCGTGCATTATGCCCTAGTGCGTAGCCCTAAGTCGTGCACCGTAGCCCGCCGGCCTGCGGCCCTTGGGCTACGGTGCACGACCGAGGCCTACGCACTAGGGCATAAATCAGCCATAGCCATAATGCCCTCCGTACCATGTGCTATTATAATTATACGTAATGCACATGTACTGTTACTCTGTCTGTGAAAGCGTGCCTGTCGGTCTCAGATCAGCTTGCATGCTGGATAAACTTGAATTAGTAACGTTTAGTTTGCCTTTTAGTTTTCTCCAAACGCTGTCGGCTCCAGGACTCCTTTCACTCACTCCTGAGACCTGGAGCTTCTCGAAAGAGTTCTGCGAGCTTCGTACAGTCCCACTCTACTCCTGTCCTCAATCTTGACCGACATGCGCGCGCTTCTTGCATGCGTTGGTAGTTGTTTACTAGTAGTCCTTGCTACTCTTTGGTTCGTTTCGCTTGAGAAACCATCGCACCAATATCGTCCACGTGTGGGACAGCATCGACGGAGCAACCTGTCCGGGCAAATATACCCTGTTCACGTGCTCATCAGGCCTGATACAAAGGGGAACATTACAGAAGCGGAATTACGGATTGTGGCCCGAGAGACGACGAGCACACTAAATCGGGCAACGGTTACCAGGCCACGCAAGACATCACCTCCAGCATCAGGCAAGGCGAGCCAGGGTGTTGATCCTGTAGGAGATAATGATATTCTGTACTTTGTGAAAGCATGCAAGCGTTTCTTCTCAACTGACCAGTTGCTGGATGGCATTCCTAAGCGATTACAGCGCATAGAGCCATTCGATCAACCTGGAGATGTGTCTTTCCAGAAAGAAGCTGAGCACTGGTTTCATGCTGCCAGCTGTGGTACTACCTGGATCAACCTTGGGAAAGTCTTGAAAGAGGAGGACTATATGAACATTAAGTGGATGACATTCGTTGACGATGATACGTTCGTCATTCGGGATAATGTGCCAAAGTACTTTTCGACGTTGTATTCCTCTAAGCCGCAGTTTCTTACCCTGTGCCCTGCTCAGAAACTACATTGGTATCCCAGAAAAACTGCTCGGTCCTCATTGATGACAGTAGGTTCAACAGCAGCTGGAGTTGTCTATAGCAAAGGTTTGATGGACCGTGTGCGTGCGGACCAGCAGAGCTTGTTCAGCCATCCCGATGTCTATAAGCATTGTCGCCGTGCAAAGTATGGCGATGATGTGGCCATTAGTTTGCTTGCTAGAGTCGACTACAACCTGAGTCTACTGGATCGGCCTGATCTACAAGGTTATGATGTACACAACCTTAATTCATCCAAAGATGCAATGCCACTAACCATGCACACTCAACAACGGATAAATTCTGCAAAAATAACACACTTAATAGCGCTGGCTGCTAAGTACTATGCTGGTGAGAAAGGCCATTAGGCTAGCCCTGAACATTCAGGTAGCAGTCGTGTTGTCCATTGCTGTTGGCTGTGCCTCTTCTCTTCTTCCGCCTTTACTGTTTCCTCCTTTCATGACATCAAGTGACATTATATTTATTACAACAATGATCTCAAGACTCTGTGGAAACACGGGCCAATATTATAGAGAGTGGGTGATTGGCGAAAAATAAAAGTAAAGCGGGATTCACAGAAGCTTTTTTGCAATGCGACACGTGATGCGACGCGATCTGCGACAGACGCGTGCGATGCGAACTCGCGAAATACCATTCACAGAAGAAGTCAGTGATGCGACAACATCTTGCTGATTTGGCTACGTCACCATGATATTCGCGCGGTTTGATACAAGTAGAAAGTATTAGGCGTGTACCAACTCACTGACGTCATCGATGACGTCATAGCGATTTAACCCTAAAAACCGGGGGGTTTTAACCCTATTTTTTTTGATTTACGGCAAATTTTTGCGATTTACGGCAAATTTTTGCGATTTAACCTAAAATCGGAGCGTTTTACACATGACGTCATCGATGACGTAATGTGATTTAACCCTAAAACCTGGGCGTTTTAACCCTAAATTGTGCGATTTAACCCTAAATCTGTACGTTTAACCCTAAAAATCGGGGCATATTAACCCTAATAAACCCTGTAACCCTATCACCATGACGATAACCCTAACCCTAGGGCTATCACCATGGCGATAACCCTAATATTCCTGACGATGATAACCCTAACCCTATCAACATGACGATAACCCTAACCCTAGGGCTATCACCATGACGATAACCCTAATATTCCTGATAACCCTAACCCTAGGGCTATCACCATGACGATAACCCTAATATTCCGGATGATGATAACCCTAATAACAAGAGTACATGAAAACCAGAGTGTGCAGCTCCGATGGGTTGCTGTCACGGCGAAATTCCGTGATTACATCATTTTAGTGATGTAGTGCGTACAAGCAGGATTCAAGCAGGTCTCTTTCTGCACAACTGCAGCTCAGTTGTACGCACTACGCCATTTCCCGCCTCAGATCTGGGCCAAATATGATGTAATCACGGAATTTCGCCGTGACAGACACCCATAGCAGAAAAGGCCCCAAGCTGCACACTCTGGTTTTCATGTACTCTTGCTAATAATCCTGGTAACCCTATCACCATGGCGATAACCCTAATATTTCTGATAACACCTAACCCTATCACCATGGCGATAACCCTAATAATCCTGATAACCATAACCCTAATATTCCTGATAACCCTAATATTCCTGACGATGATAACCCTAACCCTATCAACATGACGATAACCCTAACCCTAGGGCTATCACCATGGCGATAACCCTAATATTTCTGATAACCCTAACACCATGGCCATAACCCTAGGGCTATCACCATGGCAATAACCCTAATATTTCTGATAAGACCATGACCATAACCCTATAACCCTAACCCTATCACCATGACGATAACCCTAACCCTAGGGCTATCACCATGACGATAACCCTAATATTTCGAGAGATGATAACCCTAGTAGCCCTCATAACCAGGGAGTCGTAAAATACCGGGAGGCGACACGCCACACATTTCACGATCCGAGGATTGCCGCACTCGACCCGCGAAATTTGAAGCGTGATTGAAACGTCGTCGTCATCTTCTTTTTCTCAATTGTTTTTGCTATATGCTTCGAGGCTATTCTGGATCTCCAGAGCGAAAGCTGGTTGTTTCTGATACGTACCACGCATTACCTTAGATTGAGCCGTGGCTTTTAATTTTTTTTGGAAGTTCACTGCTTTGGAGACGACGGAATGTCAAGGTAAGTTATTCACGAAATGTACTCAAATTTGAATTGAGTCAATGCGAATGACACCCTGTTTTCGGAATAGTTCTCCACTAAACACACCATGCCCATGGCCCCTTCATGTTGTCCAAGTTCCATTCTAGGTTTGTGTGAAGTTTCGAGATGAAGTTCGACGATGTACTCACCTCTCCATGGAAGGGAAAAAAAAGTAGCATATCAAACAGAATCCATGCAGTATTTGATGCCACTATCCTCATTCTTCTGCATTCAAAGTGTTTCACATCTATATGGCCCATGAACTGCAAACAATATTTGTCATTTCTTAACTGTTCATAGCTGTTCATAACTGTTCTGAACACATTGCCTTCAGGAAACGTAAGGCCGAGTCGCCTCACCGACTGAGCAAAGTTCTCTGCGACGAAAGTCACACTATCGGCGAATGCACTCAAGGTGAATACCCGTCAATATCCTGTATACTGCTTGTACCGCTTATCACAGTATCATACACACACAGTATGTGCACGTGCACTGCAGAGCATGTAGTTGAGTTATTAATACTCAGTCAGAACATCAAGAGAATCCATGAAATGCCTGCAGAAAAACAAACAAACAAGGGAAAGCAATTTATTGGAACGCTATGAGAACCACCCCACACCCTAAGTTATTGCACATAGCCAGTCGTATCTGCCCGTAGTAATGGTCAGACTTGTGCAAAGGCTACAGGGTTTGATGCACCCTGTGCAAATTCGAACAGGTGAATGCCATAACAAAAATAATCGTATCACCAATGTTCACTCTGTGTTGTATTTTGTCTTATACAGAGCTTACAACCCACGAGGAGAGAGCGGAGAAATGCTCGGCCCCTGGCAATGACTCGAACGCGACAACTGGGGCACCACTGTCTTGTCTTGACGGACAGCATTTGTTGCCATGCTTGCGAAATATCAGCACCCTTGCATGCCTTCAGCTGGCACACTTCCTGGCGTAGCAGATTTGCAGTACCTGATGCCTTGTGTAACCGTGTCGTAATAACATGCAGGAATGACTCCGTCGCCTCAGTAACACTCGCCTGTCTCATTGCCAGCAGTTTGCAAATTCCATGGATCACTGCACCTTCCATAGGCCTGTACACCATGATGGCACTACCACTCTTACATCGATCTGCACATAGACAAAGTATGGTTTGAGGATGGAGGTTTACATCATCTACGGTGATGATACATACTAGGTACACACGTAAATTTTCAGGACTTCAATAAATATCCTGTCACAGTGAACAGACAATGCATCGTGGGCAGACTAGGATGAAAAGGATGGTGTCGACCACCTAATTTATCGGGTCAGTTCGGGCACTTAGGTATGCTACAGATTATACATTCGTGTCCACAAGGAAGAGACAAAAACATGCAAACGAAAGAATCTCACCTGTAGCCCACAGCTGAACATCCCCACAACTCAGGTCACCAAGTGAATACGTGGCGTCATCTACATCTTCCACGGTGGACTCATCACTTTGGCAGTCATCTCTGTCAAGCTCCATCATCCTTTACTTCGAAGGCCAAGGCACAAAGTATTATTACTTAGAAAAACAAAACGAACTGCTGACACTGGATTCGTTGTGTGCAGGATAACTTTATTGAGTTTTCAAATTTTTTGGACCAAACAGCGAACGCGTCCTTTTGCATGACCTGCGCCGCTTTGACCTCATGGGAAGTCCCTCGCCATGCATGCAGCGCGTGAGGTCTCAGCACTCGTGCCCGAGCTGAGGCAATCATCCGACGCGGTTGTGCATCTCGTGTCGCCTCCCGGTATTTTACGACTCCCTGCTCATAACCCTATCACCATAACAATCCTATTGCCATGTCAACTCTACTCTTTTTATGTGTGCAGGTACTACCAAGAGTCCATAACCCCCCAGAGTGTGCAACTCGTGATCCTTCTCAGCACAAATCAGTGCCGCAACGAAATCCAAACTTCATACGTCATGTAGTGAGTAGCTATGACGAAATGGGAAGTTTGGCCCGGACCTACTTCGCCCGTTTGCCCAATTTGGGGTCTTTCTTTACGAATCCACGGCCACGTAACACGCCTGAAACTGAAAGGCTCAAGTACACAAAGAATTATTTTAGAGTTGTCGAACAGTTTTCTCTTTTGAGTGTCTCTCCGATAAGAGAAGAACAATGGCCACTGTTGAACCTAAAGCAAAGCGCTCCCCATTGTCGCCGGAGTGCAGTGTCTCTGTGGACGATATTCGTCAGTTTTTGCTCGATCTGGGCTCCTCATTTTCTTCTCTCGATTGTCGAGTGTTGGAAATTGTACCAAAATGGGGCTGAGGAGCAGGTTGAAGCACATCTACTTCGAAATCGATCGGGTCTTCATGCCGTGCCAAGAGCTATTTCCATCAAATCTTGTAAATCTATATCCATGCCTATTCTTGCTATCCCGGAGTCACGAACTCTCCCAATACAAGCTTTTCAGACAACGAGCAGAGAAACTCTCTTCAAATAAAAAAATTCTGTGACTGTGAAATCAAAGCCGTTCTGCTGACACTGCATAGCCCGTGGAGCAAACGTTTTACGTGACACTTCCGTGGCTTGCTTCCACTTGGAACCCCCGCCGGATGTACCAGATATGCACATGGCCCCATCCGCCCATGCTTGCCCGGGGACCGGATGACGCAATGTTTGGATTTCGTTGCGCCAGACCCCAACCTGGAGTTGCACACTCTGGGGGGTTATGGACTCTTGGTACTACAGATCACAACGACAACAGCAACAACACTCAGCAAACCCTAATAATCATCTTATAATTATGTGTACAAGTCCTATATGCCCTAGATCTAGTTGTTACGTGCACAGATCCTATCGTTATTCTTATGTGTGTGTGTGTACAGGTCCTATATACCCTATTTGCAAATCTTGTTGCTACATTGTACATGTATGTGTACAGATCCTATCGTTATGCTAACCCAATCACCATCGCAACCCCCATCAACTCTTTGATGACGACCGTAATAACCCAATCACCATCACATACGTGTCTACAGGTACTGGAGAGTTGTTGAAAAAAATCCTCCCCCCGATTTACCTAACAGCAAGACTTAGTCAACTATTTTACTTACCTTGCATGAATTTATACAACAATTCAATCAGGGGGAGGGTCATGCTCATCGCCAGGTAAGATGCACATGTGCATTCACACGCGCAGATGTATGACGATAGTGTTGTACATGTAGCTGCAAACGACGAAAAATTACGAACAAATAAATCAAACGCTGAAAAATTACTAAAAAATAAATATGTCTATATATGGAATCAGACTACGAGCAAGAATTGTGTACGATCCTAATCGGATAGACATGCAATGGCCGACGATCACATACCTTGTACGAAGCAATGCCAAGGAGATGAAGAGGGATGTCCTTCTCTTGTCCGACTAAACGACTAGGCGAAAATAATTCCAGGACTAGGGAGGTTCTGCTATACGTGAAACGTAGAGAAATCACGTAGAGAGCAGGTGTCTGGGTTAGAGTCTACGGCTTCGCGTGTTTTGGCTCCAGATTTCTACGCGGAGATGGGGTTCTCTACGTTGTGGCACACGCAGAGAAAATGCGTACGGATTTGCTGGGTATCGATCAACTGCATGCAGAAAACTGCCAAATATGGAAGGGGAAATTCCCAGTACACATTCCACGTGACTTCTCTAGGTGAAACGTAGAGCAGAACAGCATTTCTTTACGTTACGGGAACGCGAAGAAAGTTCGCGTGATTCTTTGCGTCGCGTTCCCAAAACGTAGAGCAGAACCTCCCTATTACATGAAAAAAGGAACACTGTCACTACGAAATGATTTGAGGAAATGAAGATTGCTTCCATATGCGACGCTGGTCTAGGAGGGCGGCAGTTTTTGCACCATGGCAACCAGGAGTGCGCGCACGCGACAGCCACCAGCGCAAAGCGTTGTGTAGGCTGCGCGTGCGGAGATCCGGAGCTACGCGGAGAGCAGGGAGAGCGACGACACTTCGCCGTGACCCAGGTGAGCGGCTGAGCGCATACATCTCGTAACTCAAAGACAGTGCAGAAGCGAAAAAAGCACTGTCTTTGAATGAACAAGACGTTGGATTTAATAATAGTTCCTGAAAGTCACTCTACTTGGATTGGTTGGAACTAGCTTCTTTGCTAACTGTAATGATTTTGTTGAGGAGCGGTTTGAATTCGTTACTTTTCACGACAGCCTGACGCCAGCCTGACGCCAGCCTGACTTCTGGCTTGCAGTAGAGCTCTCCTTCCGATCCTGTCAATGGTCTCAGATTTGAAAGAAAAATACTCGAACAGTGATATTATTATTCTATACATCGCTTGTGGAAGGAAAGGGCGAGTGCTGGCAATCACTCAGTCTTCGCAAGTAGAGAATGTCCCTGCTGATTACCAGCTGAGAGACAGCTATTCTGTGCTGTGAAACGAAGGGACGATTCTTGAAGTGGAAGAACAATCGTACTAGATGTGATGATCTACTTGTATGCAATGTCACCCACAGTGTGTACAAACCTGTAGGCTAAAGCCGGTGTTACACTGGGGTTTTCTGGATCTTCAAAGCACCAGAAGTAGTATGTGTACTATTGAAAGCGCCCATTCCGTCTTGGAGGTGTGCATCACATTGACATTGTGCATGCGGTCTTTTACTAGTACATGTGTTTGGTCAGGGTCTCATCTGTGTGTGTGTGTGTCTCTCTGTTTGCTTGTGTGTCGGTGTGTGTGTGTGCGCGTGCGCGCGCATATGTGCTTATGTGTCTTCATGTGTGAGCAGTGTGTACTTTGAATGTGCCGTGCACAACTGTTTTGTGTGTGTATGCGCTTGCAATTGCCTTGCATGCGCTTTGAACATGTGTTCGTGTACGTGCTCCGCAGGACTTGTGATTTTGCCTGACCTTTGAAACCAATTGGACTGCCTGCCCTGGCAAGGGACTCTTATTGCCTAGCTTGTTGTTATGGCGGCATCAACAGTAGCACGTAACGCCACTCGACCTGTCGTTGCTTCACAGCGGCTGCTTTCTCGCTCCCGCTGTATCAGTTCGGCGTATTGCCCAGCTGCACCGTGTGGTGAAACAGCATACCGGTGCTCCCTGCTCAGTAGCTGTTGTCAGTACCAGGAACTTGGTGAGTGTAGCGGACACAGGTCGTGGCGAGTACACTGCGTCGCTGGTGACACACCATCACTGGCAATGCCCCGCGTCACGCAGTGCAGCGCGTCACTATTCCACTCCACCGCGTGTCACAACCGCAGCGTTGCAAGGGCTGCTAGCGCAAGTGCAGCGTCTCCAGCAGGAACAGCGCAGCAAAGGTGGCGGAGCACTGAGCCCGGAGCAGAGGTCCCGATTGGCTTCCGCTTGTCATATGCTGTGCGCTGCGATCGGGTCGTTGCTCAGCACCATCCCTTACTTGCTGCAGCAATGTTCCCGTTACAATGCTTACCCGGGTGTAGCCAGCAACGGACTGCGATCTAGTGTATCCATATTCTCCACGTGTACATTGGCGCTTGATGACATCATCAAGTCACTGCTTACGTCATCGAATACTAAGAGAGATTTCGCACAGGCTGTGTCAGCACTTGAAGAACATTCAGAGCTGCTCAGGGATCACGCGCAGCTTTTTAAAGTCATCTACGCTGTCGTGCAAGTGGCATGGACAAGACTGGCGACCTGATCGTTGATCATACTCAGTTTCCGGACGATTTTCTGGACACTGCTGAGAGTATGGAGCGGAGAAGCTTCTATGGACGGTGCCTCGGCCTTCATGTAAGTCACTGTGAGAAGTAAGGTGACATTTGTATGTGTGCTCTGCGACCGTAGAGTACAATAGCTGTCCGTGGTCTTTTGGATACTCCTACCCGATCCCCCTTTGGTGCGTCCATGGAGCTATAAAGCCGAGACCTCTGGTCGGCTGAGCTTAATGGGCCCCACCACCACATGCACACTCCATTATTCACCCCAGTGTCTGGAGATAATGTGGATTTTGTAGAGAAAAAAAAGAAGAAGAAAAACATCCGAGTTTCAAAACAAACAAACAAAGGTGTTAGCATGCCATGTGCGGTTGACGTTGACGATTTGTTCTGTACCATGCTCAACACTCTCTTTTTGCTGCAGAGTGCCAGCTCTGAGCCTTCTAAGGCAGTCATCATTCACTTCCATGGTGGAGGGTTTCTGGCGCAAACGTCACAGTCACATGTGCTAGGTCATTGGAAACAAATGGGTGTGCTTTGCTGCCACCATGCTCCATCCATTTCTCCGCTGCCGTAGCCAATAAAAAGATACTGTATCATGTGTGTAACACGGATGTGCACCAGGTTTTCATTTGGCCCCATATACAATAGTACAGTACTGCTCCATGACATCCAGTCGCGTCACTCAAGTACGTGCCGGGCGTTGCGCAGCCCTAGACCTGTGAACACTGGGCTGCGAAATGGTGCAAGGCGCAAACTTGACTCACGTGACCGGATTTCATTGAGCATCACTGTACATAATATTAGTATACCCTATGCATGTGTCTTCCTTGTGGTGTATTGTTCATGCAGAGCTATCTAAGCCACTGGGCCAACCAGCTCAACGTTCCCGTGGTGTCCGTTGACTACATGACGGCCCCCGAGCACCCGTACCCACGTGCCGTCAACGACTGTTTCTACGCGTACGCCTGGGTGCTGAGGAACGCCACCAGCCTGGGCACCACTGCCGAGAAAGTCATCCTGGCCGGCGACTCGGCCGGAGGTAACTTTGTCTTCGGAGTGGCATTCCTCGCTGCGCAGTACC